AAAAAAAAAAAAAAAAAAGAAAGAAACAAAATGAAGTTTCATCCGAAATATTTCTTTCGCGCGGTATAAAAATGCAGACGGCGTAATTTAAACGTTTTTCACGCGCAAACTGTACACACGTCTACGTATTTTTCTTTTCGGTGGATATATAAAAAAACAAAAAAAAAAAAATTCCGAATTTTATTTAGAAAGAGTTATATTGTGACTCCGCGGAGAGTGTCTGTGTGTAGCGGTTTTTTTTTGTAACGCGAATTAAAAAAAAAACTCGTTTTTCGGGATCCATGACTTCTCAAACGGACAACGTCACGTTCGAATTGCCAAATAGTTGCTTTTAAAACAAAATGAAAAAAAAAAAAACGTAAATTCTTTACCTTTCTGAAGAACTGCTTTTGAAATCATTCACAGAGGAATAAAGTTGTGAAAATTTAAATCGTAAGCTGTGTAAATTGATCTCGTCTTTTCGATGTCCGTCTTCTCGCTATAGGATATGTTGTCACCTCAAAAGAATCGATTCTTAATCAACTAAACTCGATTGTGAAACCTGTTTCCGTTTGATTCAGCCCAAGTTTTTAAGTAGCTGTGTGGTAAGTAGATCTGGTTTCGTTTTTGGGTTCCTCAAAAATAACAAACAACACATCTGTATCAAAAGAATGAAGTAAATAGTAGCTCCGGAGAATTGAATCCAAATAAACTTGTCGGCAAGTGAAGGTCTTCAATCGGGACTCTAAATAACAAAATGATTGACAATGTGTGGAAAAATTTATCTCGTTGTATAATATCGCAAACTTGCACGAACAATTTCGGGCCTTTCGACCTTTACTTTCCGACGAATACTTGGACTCGCATCTGTGTGTGAATTATATCCATTGTCATTGGCCGATACGACAGAGAACCGCGTCGCAAACGTCACCATATAAACCTTTTTTTTGTTGATACAGAGAAAAACTTTCTAATGTCTTGTGTGTGGGGTGTTTTTGCTGAGGTACGAGAGATATTTGTATCAGTAGATCTAATCTTCAAGTATTATAAAGCCGTCGTGAAGCTAAAAAGCTCCGATTCTCGAGCTCCCAATGAACACTCGCGATCTACACGACGGGAGATATAAAATCACATTGGTGGTTATTATATAGCGATAACTCGCGATTCGAGTGTTCTTCTCGTTTGTAACATCTCACTACGAATTGGTCCATTTTCAACCACGAGCGCATACTCACTGATCATAGGTAGTAGTAGTCGCAAATTATCACACTGATAGTCCCTACAATCACTGAGCATATCACCCATCGATTGTCAATTGCTGTATATAAACGTCGCCTACTTCCCTCTCTATAAAACTTGGCCGGTCTCTTATCCGTCTTCGTTATCGTCAGTAACTTACACGACACGGAGACCGACAAAAAGACAATCTTCTGTAACCGTGGCACAGCTTCCCCCTCCCCCTTAGGCGGAAATATTTCAGGCGGAAAAAGAGAGAAAGTAGGTCGTCGGTGCGATCTCAAAGGAGAGTCCGCTTACGATGGCACTCGTAACCAACCTGCCGACGGATATATATATAAAACCGCACTAAAAACGGCCTGCTGTAAAGCGACGGAAACGACGAAGCTCAGGTTCATCCTGAGCGATCGCATCGTGTAACCACGGATGCGGCCCGTTTGCACTTTGCACTTTTCAATTTTTCGATGACCAGCCGCGCTTCTAAGTTCTTTTCCCCTCCCTAAGGGCTGTCATCGGGTATGGCGTACCAAGCAGCTGGATCCGCGGCGAGGGCCCATGGGCCTGCGACGGAGGGATTGGCGTAGGCCGCGGCCCCCGCCGCGGATGGCGCGCACTACCAGGCTCTACCCTGCAACGGTAGATACGCGCCGCACTGCGGTTGCTGTTGCTGCTGCATGCCGCTCTGTTGCGCCCCGGTACGCGTGTACGAGCAGTGCTGCAGACTCTGGCTCGAGCTCATTACGTGGCTGACGCCGGCCACCACCGAGTGATGCGACACCGAGGAAGTGGCCGCATGATGGGTACCGTGGGGACTCGAGGCCGCCGTCATGTGCGGCGCCGGACTCGCCAGGGCCGCGCTGGGCCCGCCGCGACTACCCTCGTTACCACCGCCCCCGCCGCTTCCGCAGGGCTTCCCATCCTTCACCAGCACCGGCACAGCCACTCGCCGTGGCGAGCTCGCGCTCTGAAACAAAAGAAACAAAATTACCGCTCGATAAAGTCACGTTTTCAGAAAGAAGAAAAATACAACGTATGACGTTTATTTCATATGGGGAGGGGTCGGTCGGGAGTGACGACTCGCGCTAACCGCTCTGCGCCGATCGTTTCTCTTATATCGATTATATCGCCACCGTTTATATATATACCTCGGGCTGCGTCTTGGCACACGCAGCACTTTAAGCGCGCGTTTCTTGTATACACAATACATGCGCGCACGTGTGTCGCGCAATTTCCCCGGACTTGATGGACGCCGCGAGAACAAACGTGGGCTGACAAGGACTTCGGCTAAGTGCTCCTGTGTTCCGAGCAAATATGCGCAGCGCGGTAGGCTCGGTAAGACACTTAACCCGCCCGATATCCGTGATCAGCATTTACAACTAGACGGAACACGGAACGCGCACGATGGATTCTCGTTACGAATAAACATTACCGCGCTACCGTGGACTCGACATGTAGCGCGAAAGTTGTTCGATTCCAGAAGGACGTTATATTTCATCTAGTGTTTTAATTAGCCAAAGAAGTTTATTTTTGCCGATTATTGGTTTATGGATTTTTTTTTTAGATATTTTGTTCTCATTGTGAAAAATATTGTGTTTTATTAATGTTGCAGTTTTTTCAAGAGAACGTTGTTTTCTTAATTAGTTTTATTACAATTTTGATTAAGATTTATTTTTGCAGGTATAACAACGCTTTACAGCAGCGCTCTCGCCTCGACCTAACCGTAATTATAAATTATATCGTCATATTTTTGTTAATTTTTCTTATGTGTCAGAGCCAATAAAGAAACTATATATCATTACTATATTTTATTAGTCATTTCTTCCTGATTTTTATGAAAAGAAAAAAAGAATTCGATACTTTTTTGTTCGACGCAATGTGATTAGCGTTTCCCTTAATTAAGAAGATTATTTTCAATATCGCATTTTAAAGCGCCAAACGAGGAGGAGGATCGCTTTTTCTATATAGTCGCGCAGGATCCGTGGGTGTAGAGACAGCCCTGTTCTCTATACGTCAACCCCACGGGGAACCTCACGGCATACCAAACAGAAGCTGAAGCAAGCAGACCGAATACCTGCCAGAACGACCACTCAGCTGTATCAACATTCGGTACACGACATTCCTTTTCGATCTCTTCGCCAGTGAGACTTTAATAATACGATCGCGTGGAAAAATAACGTCCCTCTCGTTTCGCTCCGACGATCGTGATTTCACGCCGGTAATCAGCGTCATCTTCGTCAATATTTCGATTTTCATTTATTCTATCATCTCTCTCTCTCTCTCTCTCTCTCTCTCTCTCTCTCTCTCTCTCTCTCTCTCTCTCTCTCTCTCGTTA